ATTTCCTACCCCTTTGCATTCAAAAACAACAACCAGATATAAAGGATGATCAGTTGAAGGGAGCCATGCTTCAGGATGGGGGAGTCCCATCATTAGCAAAATATGTGAGGAGTGCAGAGAGGTTTTGGGACTCAGTGTTGTTGATGGAGAAGCACATTGCTGTTGTTGCCAGAAGTGTCTTTTTAAAAATTGATTTACATAGACTAGTTGAAATCTGTTTTTAACATCTATATTGATTTTTAATATGTCAGTGGTTGGTTTTTTAAAATTTGGATCATTTTGTGAACTGCATTGAACCTGGTTCAGTAGAATGAATCCTTTCCTCAACCTAAAATTTCTAGTACATAGACAGTAGCCTTTTTCTTGACATGCTAGCTATTTTACATTTATTAGGAGGTTCTCCCCTGCCCCTTCAGGGTAATAGTCAAATATACAGTTTCTCCATCTGCATACTGAAGTAATACATTCCAGAAACATTAGGGCTGGGAATGTACATTGACATTCACTCTGTCATTTGTGTGTACATGTGTGTGTGTGCACATACAATTTGTTGCAACCAGCTATTTCTGTACTGAAGCCAAATCAGTACTAATATTGTCCAATTGCATCATGTGAGATGTCACCAGCCCACCAGTGGGTAAGAGGGCTATGTGTGCAATCCCTTGCATAGGACATTTACTCATAGACTTGGTTCACAACATAGAACTGAGCAACATTGTTACCTAAAAGTCCAGGAAATATTGAGTTCATCCTCCAAATCCTAAATAGTCACATGAATATATTTTAAAACAAGAATTTTATTTGGTTTTTGAACACCTACTGTATCTTGCTGTTATATTTCCCAACCTGTTTCTGCCACTTGCAGTCTCATGAGAAGAACTATTGCAAGCAGATCATAGTAAAGGCTGCAGTGGACTTTTAAGTTCAACAACACTAGCTTCTGAAATAACATGCACAGGATCCCAAACAAGCCCCCATTCCATTGAAAAGTGGTGGGCACAAAATTAATAATTACCAACGAAGTAGAGTATGAGGAAAGGCTAATACGTTTGGGGCCTTTTAGTTCAGAAAAAGATGACTCAGGCTGTGGTCAGATGGGCAGTTTCATCCGCATCCCACGTGGTTCCCTTGCGGATTAAAAGAGGACAAGCAGACTGCAACATCTGGCTGCCGTTCCCCAGTCATTGGGCTCCAGTTCTAATCTGTCTCTCGAACGGATTAAACAGATACCGGGGAAAGTCCAATGTTGATGGGAGCACTCCGCAGTCCCGGACATGTGATTGTTGCCTTGCGTGGCCAAGCCTTTTGGGAAGCCTGGAGCTTCCAGTTCATGGCCACCATTCCTCCCCCAAAAAAGTTAGCAAGGTGCACATAAGCGTCTATGCGTGCCCTGCTTGGGATTCCCTGCCAACCAGAAGATGACGTTTCTGCTCATGTGGGCATGGGACTCCGGAACAAAGGCAGCCGAGTCTGGATGGGACTATCGGGGCCTCAGCCAGTTACTAGGGGATGTGTAATAGACATTCTCTGGTACAAGGAACACTGGAGTAAAGTTGCGGTGCAATCACAGCACGCCCGGCTGACCGAGGTGTCAGAGGGAATAGGGTGAACTCACTCAAAGGCTTGATGAGCAACAGTTGGGGACTAATAAAAAGTCCTAAGGAATGTGATGACTTCTAGCTGAGAGCTTAACTACAGATGAACTATGTGGCTACCACCAAAGCTAGCAATGTTGAGTTCACTGCTTTTAGCTTAAGGAACCTCCATTGGGAACATTTGGCTGTACAATCTTAGAAGAATATATAGTAGACCAGAGAGAAGTGCTACTGGACATGTGATTATACTGGAGGCTTCATTTGTATTTTTGTATTTCTCTTCCTTGCCCAGTGGTTATACTTTGGAACAATTGATCTCTGGTCTTTATTGCATATTTTGGATATGTATGATTGCCTATATTTTTACATATCAGCCTATATGTTCTATGTGTATTAGACCTCTGAGGAAGGCCTGTAAAGGCCGAAACGCGTTAGGTCTACTTCATTAGCCCTTGTATGTTTTTATATATATATTTGTTTATGAGGTATGAATGGGCCCTTCTTTGTTATTTTAATTTGTGTGTAATAAATACATGTATATTTTTGTATGATTTTTAGAGTTGGCCCTCTTCTATCCTTGACTAACCTTTTAAGGTTCTGAGTTCACACTGATGTACATTATTGCACAAGTTCAAGCTCTGTGTTGACACTAAACGTTGGTTTGTGAAAACAAGAATTGTCTATAGAAGAATAAAAGATTGGATTTATTCCCCACCCTTCACTCAGAATGTCTTACAATCTCCTTTCCCTTTCCCTCCCCACAACAGACACCCTGTGTGGTAGGTGGGGCTGAAAGATCTCTGAGAGAACTGCTTGTGAGAGAACAGCTCAGAGAGAACTTGTGACTGACCCAAGGTCACACCAGCAGCTGCATGTGGAGGAGTGGGGAATCAAACCCTGTTCTCCCAGATTAGAGTCCGCTCTCCTAATGTCAGCTATGCTGCCATATTGTTTATGGACTGAGGGGTCACCCGCCTGACCTGCGTACGACTGGGTGCCGCCTTTCCCTGTCTTGCTTCTCCTGTTATCTGTAACCTTGTACCACTGTCTAGTTGTAGTGTCTTCATATGAATCAACTGTGTGACTGGTTTCGTTTCCCAGCTCAGCTGCATCGGTTATTCCTTCCCGCCTGCGGGAATCAGGCCGATTGGCCCACGTGTGTGTGAGGGGGTCATCTGAACTCTGTATATCTCAGTAAGCTTTCCCTTTTTACTCATTCCTAACAGTACTTGTGTTCCTGGCCAATAGTAGTGACAATAAAGTATATGCTTCTTGGAAGACTGTGCTCCATTTGTTTGACTGTTGGACCTGACACCTAACCACTAACCACTGTCCGGTGAACAGGCAAGAAAGCTGTATGGTAGGTGTGACTTTTTCCTCATAGGCCCCCGAGGAACTGGAAGGGGTGGTGGTGATAAATTTTTCCAAGTTAATTTTAATCCCACCTGCATCAGCATGAATTCAGAAACATGGTGTAATGTATTGGCTTCAGGGGCAGGACGTTTCATTGCAAAAACTGCTTATTACAACACACACACACAAAAATTGTTTTTTCTTCTCCGGAATGTGGAGCTGAGTTATACTTGTAAGGCTCTGCCAGTGGCTCTTTTACTGTTCACGGTTGGGAGAAGGACTAAAGAGTATTTTGCCTTTGCTGGAGAGTAGTGTGGCGACTTGGACAGAGTGTTGGATTGGATTGGGGAGACCCAGGCTTAAAGCCCTCCTCAGCCATGAAGCTCACTGACTGACCCTATGCCAGCTTAACAAACTTTTGTAGTATGAAATTCGGGAATATAAAGATTTTCTAAGGCCCCTGTCACACGGGCAGGAAACTGCAGAGGAGAAGTGTGGCTGTTTGCCCCGGGGCAAACTAACATGCAGTAAAGCGATCAGACCTACTGTGGAGGTTCTGTGGAGGTACTGTGGAGGTTCCATGGCAAGGGAGAGGTGCCGATCACAACACACGCCTGCGCGCAATGAAGAAGCGCGCGGCGCGGCGAACTGGTTTTCTTTTTTCGTGTACACTACGAATGCGCATGCTCCGTTGGGTGCGTGTGCGCATCCACGGAGACGTGGGGGAAAAAAAACCCTTTTCCGCAAGGGGACATGAGCGGGCGCTGGATACCACCGGAAACGCGATCAGACGCCCGCCCTTGCCCCGCAGTTTCTGGAAACTAGTACCTCCAAGGTACTAGTTTTTTGCTGCGCTTTTTCGGCAGGAAGCCTCAGTTGTGCCACGGAAGCGCTACGCTTCCCAGATGTGCTGGTGAGATCGCGACCGGAAACTCCGCTTGTCTTCCGTATCTCTTGCGTGGCTAATGTTGCGTGTGACCGCAGCCATATATAGGTTTTTCCTTCTTCATTGTTCATATTCATATTTCTCTGGTTTTTATAGATTTATTCTTTAGGTAATATTTTATTAGGATGTTAGAAAGGCCTGTTATATAGAAGGCTTTCCTCTTGTAGGTCTATTATTGCTAGCAGACAACATAATCGGTACAAAGTTCATGATTCTGTAGTTCTTAGGGCAAACCTTTAAATGTCTGGGTCAGGTAGGATTTTAGTCTCGTATCAGTAATGAATACTTTTGTTTGGGGAAGAACAAGCTTTAGCCGATATGCCTTAGGTCATGTCAAGTAAATATGTGACGCTATTGCATAGGCACACCTTTCTTACATTTGACCAATAAGGAGATTTTCATGTAAATGTTGTTTAAGTTTTTGTAACCAATTATGCCTTTTGAATATTATTCCCATGATGATGGTATGATGATGTCATTTTAAGTATTTAACTTTATGTATTCCCTGAATATGTTCAGAATATGCTCAAGAAGAAGATGAAGAAGAAAAAGAAGAAAGTTGTCAATTTCTGGTTAACTATTTGGTCTAATTGTTTTCCTATTGATTGAGGCATGTTTCCTGATTATGCTGAGAAGAAAGCAATCAGTTTTGATGGGTCCTTCGGCCTAACTGTTTTCCATATTTCATTACAATAAAATACAAGAACTTCCTCCTCATTTGACTTCATTTTTGACATGGAATCTAATGTCTACAACACTTTCCAGGGTTGTTTCCACAGACAACAGCCCAAGAATCTTGAAGGCAAGTCAGGATATAAATATGATCGACACAATATAAACAAATCTGTCCACGTCTTGGCTCTCCAGCCTTTCTCAACTTAAAATGTATGTCCAGTTAAAAAAACCCCAACTGCTGTTCCTCATCCCCCAGCCCTGAGCATCGTCCTCACTTGAGAGGGTCTTGATATCATCCTTACCTCTGAGAGAAAGTTGAATTTTTGCAGGAAATATTTCCAGTCTACGGAGTGCTCCCCATGAAGCCGCTGAAGTCTGAGGAGATGGTTGAATTGCTTTTCTGATAGCGTAAAACAAAAGTGGTGAAGTACCTGCCGGAAATCCTGGGCTGAAATTGCTCCTGTATGCTCCTTGTCAAAAGCAGAAAAGGCCTGCAAACAGCAGAAAAGAAAGGCAGCTATAAATAAATTTCCCTAGCAAAGCAATTACTGAACTACAGAGATAAATGCATAGGTAATGCACATTCCCTTGGAGAATTCTACATACAAAATTGCCAATGAAGATTCCCAGTCAATTACTCTTCAAGCGTTTTGCCAACTGAGTTTTCCCAAGAGCTTGTGTCTCCTAGCAGGGTTCATTATCAGGCGGGAAGTGTCAGATGAGAAGGCAGTTTACAATAGGCCTCTATGGAAACGAAGGCAACTCTGAATGTTTCAAGATGATCTGTGAGCTTCATAAGGATCTTGGATGACAGGAAACATAAGGATCTACCTCCTAGTGAGCCAATCAGTGTGACTGACCCTTTCCACACATTACAGGGTAGCAAACATGGCTTTGTGAATCGGCTGGGGTGGGGCTCTGATAAGTATTTTCAAATACTGTCTTGTCTTTATTCAGATATTACATATTTATGTGCAGAGTTTTCTTCACACACTGACATAGCAGCTAAATAAGAGCACCTGATGTGAGGAAAAACAGCAGGTTTTGGGTCTGCACAGATGCCTTCTAAGAACAACCATTACACATGTCAGCTGTTTTTCTTACTTGTGGCCATTGTGCAAGCACACTAATGGGAGATTAATATGCTGACCCATGTGGCCATGAGACTCAATGTGGTTAAAACTGACTGAAAAATTTTGTCACTATCTTGAGAGAGTAGGTCCTTGGCAGGTTATAGATGTGTGAGTATCCTGGGCTAAGTGGAGGAGTTTGGTGAACTAAGGCCCCGGTCACACGGAAGATTTTGGCCTGGGAGAGGGACGGATCGGGGGCGCAGCAAACGGGCGCGATCTCACTGCAACATCTGGGAAGTGGTGCGCACCCGTCCCCGATCCGTCCCTAAACCTGGAAAAGCCACTGCAAAAAAGAACCTCCTACAGAGGAGGATTTCCCTGAAGCACCGCAGCAAGCGTGGCCGTGGGATTGCCGCCGTGCCCGTCGTCCGGAGCAATCCAGGCTCCCGGCCGAACTGCGCACACATGCGCAGTTCGGCAGCCTCTCTGTCCCTTCAGTAGCTTCCCCCTGGCATCTGATCGTGCCGGGGAGGAACTGTGCGGTGACTCAGGGGATCTATGTGATCCCGCCGCCGCATGTTTCTTTTGGTGCGGCTTTAAAAAGCCGCATTTTGGGCGTACTTTTCCTCCCCGTGTGGCAGGGGCCTAAGATTGTGCCATGGTGGCTTCAGGATGCAAAATATTTTGTCCGTAACCATTTTTGCGGAAGATCCAGAGAATGAAGGGTATTGACATGTGCTAGAAAAATATCCCTGAGGGACAGAGGATCATGTCCCACTCCACTTAGAATCAGGAAAACTGGATGTTGAACATCAGTGCCAAGATATCTACTGATTTCCATCCCCTACTAGTTGATGACTGATATCAGCTACAACTTCAGGGATCCTTCATGAGCTACTTTCCCATCTCATGATCGGGATATGAGATAAAGACAAGTTAAAGATGAAGATGAGATGAAAGTGTTATAATAAACAAATGTAAACAATAATTCCTGGCTTGCAGTTTGACTAGAGAATGCACCACCTGCAAATCTGAAGGGCAAAATGTATGAGAGTTTGGGAGTTGCTTACACTATGATGGTTTACACGGAACCTGGCAGTATTTTTTATGGTTACTTTAGCACTCTGTATCAGTGGAAGAAGTCTGACTTCATGTTCCTGGGATCCCAGATCACTGCAGACTGTGACAGCAGCCATGAAATTAAAAGACGCCTGCTCCTTGGGAGGAAAGCGATGGCGAACCTAAACAGCATGATAAAAAGCAGAGACATCACCCTGCCAACAAAAGTCCGCATGGTCAAAGCAATGGTATTCCCAGTAGTCATGTATGGCTGTGAGAGTTGGACTATAAGGAAGGCCGAGCGCCGAAGAATAGATTCTTTTGAACTATGGTGCTGGAGAAGACTCTTGAGAGTCCCTTGGACTGCAAGAAGATCAAATCAGTCAATCCTCAAAGAAATCAACCCTGACTGTTCCCTGGAAGGCCAGATAATGAAACTGAAGCTCAAATACTTTGGCCACCAAATGAGAAGGGAGCACTCAATGGAGAAGACCCTGATGCTGGGAAAGATTGAAGGTCAAAGAAGACGGGGACGGCAAAGGATGAGATGGTTGGACAGTGTCATCGACGCAACGAACATGAAATTGAGCCAACTTCAGAGGACAGCGGAAGACAGGAGGGCCTGGCGGGATCTGGTCCATGGGGTCGCGAAGAGTCGGACTCGACTGTGCGACTGAACAACAACAAATCAGTGGAAGAAAGGCCCACAGGACTGAAAATAGTTAGAAATTTGAGGGCATCAATACACAGGGAGGGCTCTTATGGAGAACATACCTGACTGATAATGCATGTTCACATTGTAAACTCCACCTCCCAGAACTCCACTGTGAGGATGATTTTGTGTGCTAGGATGGATAAAGAGTAGGCTTGTCAGCTCTGGGTTGGGAAATACCTGGAGATTTTGGAGGTGAAGCCTGAGGAGGGTAGGGTTTGGGGAAGGGAGGAGCCATTTTCTCCAGGTGATCTGATCTCTGTCACTTGGAGATCGCTTGTAATCCTAGGAGATCCCTTGTCTCTTGGAACAACATCCACTTCAGCAAACATCTACCTCAACAAACATCTGTCTATACAAGCAAGCCACCGTTTGACTACCCCTTTCTATTGTGTTTATACAATTTACAACAGGTGGTCTCTTATCTGTTCAGTGTGTTCTGCTAAGGGTGAATAACCACAAATTTCACCTAGGCTGAGACCAGAGGATTTATGTGTTTAGGCCTGAGGGGGCCTGGGAACACTGTAGGTGCACTTCACTGGATTCCAGTGCTTGCCCGGGGTGCCTGCAGAGCTGTCATGGGGTTACTTTTGGGATCCCCTGTCAGAACACTGGGGATCTCTTTCTGTTGTTCAGAATCTGCCTTTGGAGAATTGCAGGGGTTGTGAGCATGGGGGGGGGGGAGTGCTTGCCTTGTTTCCAGTGTCTGGGAGAGGTCTGCCCAGGTGAAGTTTCCCTGTGAGTTTGGTGTCACTGGCTTATTCCTGAACTGTTCCATAGACTCCTGTAATTGGGGAGACGTTTTGGGGAGGTTCGTAACTGGGACCCAAAAAACGCAACCTGTCCCCAACTTGGACAGATTGTAGAGGAATGGGCAGCAGGGTGAGTTTCCCTGTGAGTTTGATGTGTGTAGCTTGCAGGGAGTCCATTCCATACACTTTTGAACTTGCATCTGACATTTCTCCTAGGGGCACCTTTTTGGAGGGACTGTAACTTAGACCCCATAAGTCCAATCTGCACATAATTTGGAGGTGGTGACTGGGGAAGCAGTGGAACTGACCCTTGTGTGAACAGTGCAGAGGAAAACCAGCACCATAAGTGGTGGTACTTGAGGGCATATTAATTGCTTGGAGCTGGAGGCTGCAGTCTGAAAAGCTGAAAATGCAGTCATGGCTGGTACAGAAACTGACAATAGCAGAATGTGCAGAATAGCCATAGTTATGGGAATGATCCTTGGCAACAGTGGTGCAGAAATGGGCACCTGACATGACAGCAGATTTTCTATGGGAGGAACTAAAGTCTCGGTCTTCTTAGCTTTGTGATTGTGGCAGACGGTCCTGGTAGAGGAATCTTACGGTTAAGGAAACTGTTCCAGGCAATAATGGTAATCAGGATTCAGTTATCTTACCCTAGGTGCACAGATGGAATAGTGTTCTACTCTTGGTTCTATGACTGGCTCTCTTTCCAGTGGGAATGCTGATAAGAATCATCCAGAAGTGGGAATTGAGGGTAGTGTTTGTCCCAAGAGTAGGAGGAGTAATGCTAGTACAGGGGCCCATGTTATCACTGAGGGTAACAGTCCCAATCAAAAGGTGATGAATATTGAGAAGAGGTTCTGTACCTCTCAAATCTGGTCTATCTATGGATTGGTGTCAAAGGGAGAATGTCTGAGGGTACTGACCATGTGGCTGAATGGTGCGGTTGGATGTCCTGAGAGGTGTCTTAAATCTGACCATCAGATATAGAACTGATAAGCTGGAACGGATGAGATATATTTCAGTTGAAGGAGGTTGCCCCAAGTACAATAAATGTCCACAGAAACTTCTTTAAGACTGGAAGAACAGAGGAATCAATATATGGTGTCATAACTGGAGCAGCTGGCATGTTAAACCACACATGGAGCAGTGATGTTCAGTGGACTGAAATGTGCTAGTGCTGTTAGAGGAGAAGAGACTGACACTTACTACATCAGATGCCACATGTTTCTTCTTCCTCTTTTTATCAGGTTCTGAAGAGGCATTCCTTTGAATGACACTTAGAGGATTGTGATACTTGGACCACATCCTGAGGAGATCCCAAAGCTGGAGCCACATGGGAATAGATCATGTTGGGGCTGAAACTGAACAAATCAGTCTAGGCCCTTGCAGCCTACATCATCAAATCAGATACGGATAGGGCAGGCTCTCGCGAAGGGCCCCAAAGAAAGGTGAAGCGATTTCAGCAGGGAAAACTTTGGGCAGCTGCAGCAGGAATTTACTCTAAGCCTTTCACTTAGAAAGACAAGACAGCAGTCACACCTGACTAATATGAGTCACTTCATAAAAGTGGGCCGCTGCTTCATAAACAAATGGTTCACAGCAGAGAAGAACAGTGAGAAAGAAAACTGCAAATCAAAGGAGAAAACAGCAAGAGAAAAAGGTAGAATCAAAGTAGAAGCAAAGAAATGAAGAGTAACTCAAAAACTGTGGTTGAAGAGCAAACTCTAAATGCTGCTGCTATGGTGGCTTGCAAAAAGCAACTGAGCAGAAGGGTGTGGCCCCTGCTCAGGGACAAAGTAAAGAAGCTGATGTTAGTAGAGAGCAGGGGCAAGGTTTACCTTGTTTACTCCAATCACTAGAGACTAGGGACATATTTATTGTGGCTCCACCACAAGAGTGTCCCTGAGTACACCTTTCCCCTCATATAAATCAGTGGCTTCCATTCATCCTATAAGGAAAGGTACACCAGTAGCTTTGGGTTCTCTGTTGCTTTGGGCAACGCAGCTTCCATGGGCAGGACTCCCACTGGAAGATGCAAAGTACCTCTGTATGCAGACAGCAGGGTCTCTCCCCTAGTCATAATGGTGGGCAGGGGTCATTTGCGGGGGACGCCGGGGGACGCCATCCCCCCGGGTGAGGTGCGGGAGGACGGGGCCTGGAGCTCCCTGCTGGTGCCCGCTGGAGGTCGCCGCCGGCTGTGGGGAGAACACACTTCCGGTGATGTCAGGGGGTGTGGCATATGCTAATGAGTTATGCTAATGAGTCCCCCTAGCTCTATTTCTACGAAATGACCCCTGATGGTGGGTATTTTGTAGTAAATTCCCAAGACCACATAATTACCTTGTATAACAAATCAGATGAAGCTGTAACAATCTGTTTTATCCTCGTCATGGTTTCATCTATGCCCAGTTGCATGAAGCTGATAGGTGGTACAGGTGGCAGGATACGTTTTTTCCTTCTGAATGCGCCACGATCACCAATTGATCTTAGAAAATCAAAATATGAGAGCTTGTTGTCCTGAATGCTAATGCCCAATCTGAGGAGAAAAACAAAACAGAATACTGGAATGTAAAACTATTCATCCTTCCTATATATATAATTGCCTTATGTATTGGCACTTTCTGGCTCTCCCACTGGCTGTGCTGTGCACTCCATCAGCCATTGGCCCATCAACCACCACTCAAGAGTACTCGTGTACCATTGGTTGGGTGCTGGGTCCAACCATCTCCCCCACCCACTGCCAGCCTGGACACTTTTCCCTGACAGAATAAACTGCCAAAATGGCTGTCTCCCCTGACAAAGACACTTTTACTTCTGCTTGGCTCCTCTGCCGCAGGCTGTCTACTGAGGTAGGCCACCGGCTGTCAAACTATTCCTTTCTCCTCCTGCTGTGGGGCTAACTTTTCCCTCAGTGGCAGCTGCTAGGCAACCAAGCTTGGTTCTGTCAGTAAAAAGGCAAAGGCAGGAGGCCCTTTCCAGGCCTCATTTGGCTTTGTGGGGAACTCATTGGGGCCAGTCCTGACTAGGGTTGCCAGCTCCAGGTTGAGAAATTCCTGGATATTTTGTGGTGGAGTCTACAGAAGACAGAGTTTAGGGAGGGGAGAGGCCTCAGCTGAGTAGAATGCCATAGAGTCCACCCTCCAAAGCAATTATTTTCTCCAGGGGGAGAGATATGTCGTCTGGAGCTCAGTTGTGATACCTGGCGATCTTCAGGCTCCACCTGGAGATTGGCTACTCTATGCATAGCAGTTAGCACTTTAGAGCAGGGTCTGGCAGACCCAGGTTCTTGCTGTGGAAGCTGAGTGGGTGATTTCAGACCAGTCACAAACTTTCAGCCTAACCTATCTCACAGGGTTGATGTTCAGATCAAAGGGAGGAGGGGAGAATGATGTAAGCTGCTTTGGTCTCCACTGTGGAGAAAGACTGTACTTTTCCTCCTGGGGAACCATTGCTGCCAATCTCCAGGTGAGTGCTGGAGATCACTCAGAATTAAAACTGCTCTCTGGATGGCAGAGCTCAGTTCCCCAGGAGATAACAGCTGCTTTGCAGGGTAGACTCTGCGTCATTATATCCTGCTGAGGTTACTTCCCCTCCTGCTTGGGTCCCCCACTGTGGAGGAGAAAAACTACTTTTCTTAGGTAGAGGCTGCAGGCAGGGAGGGAGGGAGGAGATGGAAACTTGAAGTCAGAGGGGCAGATAACGGTACGCTGATGGTCGGCTGGGAAGGAGATAGGGTTGCCAATTCCAGGTTGGGAAATTCCTTGAGATTTGAGTGGTGGAGCCTGGAGAGAGTGGGGTTTGAGGAGGGGTGGGTACAATGCCATAGATTCCACCCTCCAAACCAGCCGTTTCCTCCTGGGGAAATGTTGCCAATCTCCAGGGGAGGGCTGGAAATCACTCAGAATTACAACTGATCTTCAGATGGCAGGGATCAGTTCCCCTGGAGAAAATGGTAAGCTATGTGTCATTATACCCTGCTGAGGTCACCACAGTAATTTTTTTTTTAATAATAATTTTATTGGTTTTCAAAAAGAAAAAAAGAAAAAGAAAGTGAGAGTATTACATTGTAACAGGATCTATTCAGTTTGCTCACACATGATATAAAAACAAGAATTACTTAAAGCTTTATCAAATTAATAAGTATCTTTCCAACAACATTGTATATTTTTAATAGTTACTAATTTTCTTTACTGCCATATATCTATTTTTCTACTATATATAAATTTAAAGTAAATTTAACTAATATAGTCCTCTAATAACATAGTCAGTCTTCTACTGATCTTTCAGCTATGAGGTCAATCATTCTAACAATCATATTTAAAAAATAATGGAATTATATGGATCAGAATAAAAAACCCACAACATTAACATTTCATTGCTAGGTTATTAGTAGAATCTTGCTAACTACTATAGGTTCAATTTCAACTAGGCTCTTTAATGGGAACAGCATGTAGATAGTAATATGACAGATGAAAAGATTAAAAGTTTCTATTTGCACCTCATAATAGAGTCATTACCAATATGTAAATCCAGATCCAAAATATCTTTCTTATTGAGTTACAACTGTAGATTACATGGTTCTTAACACGATCAAGTTATCTATCTATACCTTCTTTACTATTTTATAATTGTTTCATTTATATTAATTTATTTCTGTTATGTTATTTTTATGTTATTTTTATTTTCAGCGACAATGCAAAATTAAACCATTAGACATGTATCCTCGTGCCAATGTAATTATATTTATATTTTTCTCTCTTTCTTATTTTATTTTTCATGATGATCATAAGCTTATATCTTTTCTCTTTGTATGTATTGAAGGTGATCTTTATTTCTTCCTTTATGTGTTCCATACTTCCACTGGATAAAGTTTCCTGTCTTATATTGTGATCCATGTTCTTTTGATTTGCAAAAACTAGGCCATATGACAACTCATCTTGTATTCTCTCTTCTGGTGTTTCAAGAGTTGAAAAAGTTATTACTCTTCCCATAATTTTTTTACACTGACTTGTGTTGCTTTTTATGGGGTAGCTGAGATCTTTGTCTGAAAGCAGAGTTTCATGGAATAGTTCATCTTGGTTAAAATCCTGCTCCTTAGCTGGGCATATTACAGTCAATTGATCTTCCTTCTCGTTTGGAATTTCCTGTTGTACGATAAGTTCCTCATTATAAAGTTTATGAAAAGTATTCTGGATCTCTCATTGAATTGTGGTCTCAAGCATCTCTAAAAATTGTTGCAGGTTAAATTGCATGTTTTGTATATCATCTGGGTCTTCTAACGCCTCTGCCTCTTTGTAGTTATTTTGTAACTCCATTGTAATCTTAACTTGCAGTTCCAGTCTGTTGCTCAAGGTCAGTTCTCTCCTGTTTACTTTTCCAGAGAGTCTCACAGAGCTGGTCACTAATTCAAAACGCCAGACTCAGTAGCTATATTAAAATCCAAGAATCTTTCCACATAGACCAAACAATATGGAGTCTCTTTAATATTTCTCAGAAGCAGTCACTCTTAGGTAAATTTTCAGTGTTAAAACACAGTCTTAAGAGCAGTAACACCTTCAAAAGTAGCCAGAATCCATTTTAACCAAGACGTTATGTTAAAGATACACAGTCCCTTTTATTTTTAAATCCCATGAAGTAAGAGGAAAAAACCAATGCATTGTAGATTCAAAAGTATAAATTCCAGATAGTGCTTGCAGTTAAGTCTATTGAAATGTTCAAATAGCAGTAGTTAAGTCTTTTTTGCCCTGCTGAATATTTTAAGAATTTTAACTTCCCAGTCTCTTAGCAGCTGCTCACGAGGGGGAAGGAGGAGGGGGGAAACTCCACATCTCGTTCCCTTTCTTTTTAGAAAATTTAAAGGGGCGAGATCAAGATATCTTTGGAGATAAGTTGTTGCAGTTACAGATACTCATTTCAGTTCTCATCTTCACCGATGTTAAGGTGAGGTTCAAGCTCTCATAGACGAGTGTTCAGAGTTTATCACAATCATGGTTCCATGACTGTGCCACTCCATGCCGTGCTTCGGGACAACCTCGGTTTTCCAGCCGCTTGCTGCTGCTCGCGGGGAGATCAGGGCAAGTCCCCTGCAACCGACTTTCTCTTTGGGAGAGTTGGTGGGCTCTCGGGTAACCAGAGCACCCCTAAAGGCACAGAATATCGGTGAACTTGGGAGCTCGCCAGAGTCTCAACCACCTCGCTATGCCAACCCTGGTGCAGTCATCACCACAGTAAATTGATGCTGAGTGCCCAAGGCCAGAGCATCTGCCCAGAGCCTCTTTCTAGAGCTTGTTGTATTTATTTCCACAACAGGCCTTATTCCTAGTTAAATTATAAGTCTTTATATAAATTTAGGACTTGGTCTAAATTGGCCAGACAATTCTCTGACAAACTCGTTGAGGGATATATTTTTTACTAAACAATTTGCATATATTTAAAATAATTATTCAGTTATTTAGATTTCTATCTTGTACATGAAAGAGATGGAGTAAAAACATCTCAAAATGAAGCATCAAGATAAGAACACATGAAGTCTTAGCAAAGATCAAAGCTCCCTTGTTTAGCTTTCAATATTAGCTTAACCCTAGTCACTAAAAACTGGGTCCAAAAGGAAAGGCTCATCACACACACTCCAAATCTGTTAAGTCTCCAATGAAAGGAAAACTCTTTATATATTGTAGTCACATGGAGGATCCACAAGCCTTGGACCTGACCCCAGGCAACAGTGGCATGGGGTAGGGCTCAGGCACCCCATTCTGTACCACCCCTGGAGGTATAAGTTGGGCTGCAGAAGCAGCACCTTTGCAGCCCACCTTCAACCCAAACTGGGCAGATTTGAGTGGGAGAAGGCAGTCCTCTAAATACACTAGTCCCAACACAGTTAAGGCTTTAAAGATCAAGACTAGCACTTTGAACTCTGGCCAGAAATAAACCAAAAACCAATGTATGTCTTAAACATAATGAATATATTATAAGAAGTACGTATGATATTAAGTTTCCTTTTGCAAGCTCAATGTAAAGGGGGTCTGTAGTCAGAATGAAGATGAGGTTTTTTTCAAGTTAGTGAAGAACATTTAGTGTGCTAAGTAGGGTTGCCATCTGGGAGGATAGTGGGGGAGGGAGCATTTGGGGGACAGAGACTTGGAGAAATGATGTTGTGTGATGCCATGGCATAGCACAATGTTGGTCTCCCCAGTTTTGCTCCCACCACTCCATTGACCAAGGGCAAGAGCCAGAGCAGTGGTGGAAGGAAGTTGCCCGCTGTGGTAGGCAGCCTGGTAAGTCTAGTGCTAAGGATTAAGCTATACTTATTGCTCAGTTACTTATGCATCTTGACTCTAACTAGCCCTTCCAGACAACTAACTCCTCACCACCACCTATATGTAAGGCTTGCGGAAGTCTGTTTCAATATATCTGAAGAAGTATGCAAGCACATGACAGTTTATACTCAGAATTAAAATTTGTTGGTCTTAAAGGTGCCACTAAACTCAAACTTTGTTCTATTGTCTCAGACCAATACGGCTACTCACCTGAACAAAG